ATGAAGTAAGCGAAAGAACAAAGGCACAGGAGACTTTACTCTCCCAATGGACTGTGCCTTCCCCAGGCCAACCCCCTCCCTCCCACTTACTCTGGGTCTTCTGTAGCTGCTCCTGAGAAGCAAAGGTTGCAGAAAGGTTCTCCAGTCTCCTATGTTCCTCTTGGATTTTCGTTGTTATCATTTTTTTAGTGTTCTCTAAATCCTCTTTTAACCTCTGGATCTCAGCATTGGCTTTCTGCAGATTGTCCTCTAACATCTGGGTCGTGGAATTTAAGGCTGCAGCACCCTCCATTCCTTGTTTTAGGGTCTGAATCTCTCTGCTGGCATTTTTCAAATGATCATTTAACACCTGAATATTAGAATTTAAGGTACTGGCATTTTCTAGCTCTGTTTTTAGTACTTGGATCTGAGCATCTGTCTGCTCCAGGTGGCCATTTGCTATTTGGGTCTGGGCAGCGGCCGTTTCCAAATCTTTTTTTAACAAGTGGATCTCATTGCCAGCCCTTTCCAAATCACCTCTTAATAACTGGAGCTCAGCACTGGTGTTGTCCAAACTGCCTTTTATAAAGGTCTGGGTCTGAGAGTTTAAATCATTTGCATTTTGCAGGCTTCTATTGAGCTTCTGAATCTCAGCATTGGTTCCTTTCAAGCTATTTCTTAAAACCTGATTCTGGGCCCTTAAATCATTGACACTGTCCAGATTACCTCTCAAAACAAGGATCTGAGCATTAGCATTCTTTAAAGTACTATTTGCCAACTGGGCCTGGGCCCTTGTCATCTCCAACTCTGCCTTCAGCGCCTGAATTTCAGTATTGGCGTTTTCTAAGCCTCTGCTTAACATGTGCAGCTCAAGACTAGTGTTTGCTAAACTGCTTAAGAAACTCTGAGTCTGGGAATTTAAAGCATTTGCCTTTTCCAGATCTCCCCTTTGCTTCTGGATCTCAGCGCTGGCCCCCTCCAAGGAGCTCCTTAACGTCTCGGTCTGGAAATGCAAGGTACTGACATCCTTTAGAATGCTTTTTACCATCTGGACGTCAGCACTGGCATTTTTCAGGTGACCACTGAGCATCTGGATCTGAGAACTGACATTATCCACTCTGCATGTCAACAGATGGATCTCCCCGCTCCAGGTTCTGGAATTCTCCATATGGTTTTTAAACATCTGGATGGCCTCTTGCAACTCCGCCACCCTGCCAGAGTGGAAGGGATCTGGAGAGAAGAGATGGAGAAGGCAGACACAGAGGCCCATGACATAGGGAATCATTTATTACATAGGCCAACCTGAGTGTCCTTAAAATTTTCAAGAGAGTCTACAGCACAGCCCTAAGTGCTCCTCAAGCAGCCTGAGGCCACTGAGACCCTGGGAATGGGGCCACCTGAGAACATGGGCCAAAAAAAGAAAAAAATACTTAGTTATCTCACATGAACTGAGGGGCAAATCACATGACTGATAAAGGATAAAAAATAGAATACATACTATACGATTCCTTTTATATAAAACTCTAGAAAAAGCCAACCGATCTATATTGCAGGTCGATCAGTGGTTGGCTGGAGATGAAGGGAGGAGGGAAGAGGCAAGGATGACAAAGGGAACAAGCAAACTTTGGGGGGAGGATGATAGATATGTTCATTATCTTGAGTGTGGTAATGGTTTCACAGGTATATACATATGTCAAATCTTATCAGATTATACGCTTCAAATATGTGTACTTTATTATGTGTCAATTATACCTCAATAAAGCTGTTTTTTTAAAAAAAAAGATCATGCTTTTCTGTGAGGAGAGTGGAACTTAATCAGGGGCCTGAGAGGGTTAGGGGAAAGCCACATCCTAGGGTCTGGGAACCCGAATGCCCCAGCTCCCTCCCACCTGCCTGCCCCCACTGTGTCTACTCACTGTCAGGTTCCACAGGTAACTCCTCAGTAGTGTTGTCTCCTGGAAACCCTTGGGAGAAGGCATAGGCCTCTGGTGCAGGTCTTGGGTGCTGTAGAACTGAGACACCCCATTCCTGGGTCAGCATAGTCCCTCAGCACTGAGCCTGGTACAACAGGCCACCCTACCCAGAGTCAGAGTTCCAGAAGGAGGGAGATGGCACCAAAGACCCCTCAGAGTTTCCCTCGTGGGCCTCTGTTCTTGGGAGGCTCCCCTTTAACAGTGGCCTTGGACTGGTCTCAAGAAAGCTCTAGTTTGGGCCTGGGGCTAGAGATGGACTGACCCTTCTAGGAGCAGAGCACATGTGTCTGGCCTTTATGCAGGAAGGAGAGAGTCAATGGGAGCTTACCCATAACAAAGAGAGCCGTAAGAGAGGTGACAGCGATCATGAGCATAAGTGCCAGGATGGCAAGAACAAGCCTTGGTATCTTGGGGGCTGTGGGAGCCACTGCCGAGGAGTCCAGGCCTGTGGGGAAGACACCAGTGTCCAGAAAAGAGTGTGCTATGCGGGCCAGACAGAGTCAGCCCCTCGGGCTCGATCTCCTGACCTGCCTTATGGAAATGAGAACACTTGCTACACTTATCACGAAGAAGAGAAGTGGAACACTTTGAAATGTTCACCAGAGCTCACTGGGGGATGCAGTAGCAACACAAAGGCTGAGAGGAGACTACAGCTTAGAACCTGGCGGAGGTGCACAGGGCGCAGAATCTGGCATAGACAAGGAGAACAGCAAAAGCATGGTTTAAATGAAAGAAGGAAGGAGGGACCGAGGGAGGGAGAGCAGGAAAGACAGAGAAAGAACCCTGACCTCAAAGTCCCAGGGCCAGGCTTGTTCATGAATCTTAAAAAGAGCAAGACTCACAGCCCTTTGGGGCTGCTGTCTCCCCCACAAACTGACCTGGCTGGGTCAGTGCTGGAGCCTCCTTCCACTGCGGTCAGGAAGCCACTGTTCATGTTCTAAGAAGGGCTGTGCCTGGGGATCTGGAGCTGTGTTTAGGAACAAAGACTATACAGGGAAATCCACTCAATATGGAGCAACATCAGCCTGGAGGCCCTGACACCTCATGGGTCACCCCAGTGTGCAGAGATGGGATTCCAAACCAGGCCTCTTTGAACTCAAAGTTCACCACCCTCTTTCTTTTGCCAGGTTGCCGTTCCCAAGAAAAGGGACTGGAGAGATTGCATGAGGAGACTGAGGGTATGTCCCAGGCTCTCTGTCTTCACCTGACCTACCTTCTGTCCTTGCCTGTCTGTTCTGGAGGCTGAGACAGAGACAAGCAGAGCTCTGACCTGCCAAGGAAGGGCTGAGAGACAAGCAGACCAGTCCCTGATCAAGGATGAGCTGAGTCCCCAGTTTTCTCACCTGAGGGGTACAGAGAGACCCTCTGGTTGTCTGTGCAGAAGTAGACCTTGTCATCATTCATCTCTGCTTCCTTCATCCTCCAATGCTGTGCCCTGCCTCAGCTCATAAGGGTCGTGCTGTGGCCAGTAGCGGTGGGAAGGGAAGCTGAGCTATCCCAGATTTATATGCTCCTGCGTAGGTCCTGACCACCCCTAAGCTCTGCCTTCCTGCCCTGATGAGTCTGCAGAAGCACCCCAGTGAGGCCCCTCCCCTCAAGGCTCTCAGACACCAGTCCTCCCAGACCCTATCCCCTCCATCTTCCCGTCAACATCAGTCCTTTCTCTCCCCTTAGGCCCATCACCCCAACCTCCTTACTCTGACCTAGCCCCCAGACACTAGCCTCTGCCCCCAAATCACAAACACCGTTCACTAGCTCAAATCAGAGATTCCGTCTCAGCTTTGCAAAAAAAAAAAAATCCTTGTGAGCTGTGGTGATATAATCCTAGCCTGCTTCAGGGGGTTCCTGCTGCTTGTAGACCTAGACTAAGAAGACAGGGAAGTGAGGCATCCCACTGGAGCTGTGTGAGTCCAAAGTCCCCATTCCCCCATGAGAATAACCAGTGTTACAAAATCAATAATCCCACTGGCTGGTCAAGGCACCCCTCCCGAAGTCAGTTCCGAGGATACTACCAATTCTTGTTCCTCAGTCCCTCATAACTTCAGATAATTACAATTTTATCAAAATAGATCACATTTTAACTAATAAAAATCTAATTACATATTTGTCCCCCCACCTCACCAGCGACCCATTTACAAGATGTCAGTTACAACCTTGCAAATGGCTTGTTCCATCTATATTGTGTTGCTTTTTTCTATTTCCACTTTCAGTTCTCAAATCCTGGAGTCAGCCTCCCATAGGCCTCCTGAGGCCTCCTGAGTGCCAAATAAGAAGCCTGCAGCCCACTCTACTGGTGGAGGAGCCATACTGAAAATGCCTCCTCTGAGGCTGGGCCGAGAGAGAAGCTTTAGTCCAGAAGAAGCCTGTGTCATGGATGGCCAAGGTCAACTCAGCCAGCAACTAGCTGAGTGCACAGCTGATCTGCATGCTGAAGAAGGGAGTGGTTGCCTACACCCAGTTCATGAAGACATGGCATTGTGTGTGTGTGTGTGTGTGTGTGTGTGTGTGTGTGTGTGTGCACGCACGCAGAGCCAACATCCATCGACCTGTTTCCTGTCCACGAAAGCTGATCTGAGAGGAGAGACATAGGAGGAATGTAAAGGCACCAGTTTCTGGAGCAGTCAACAACATCATCTGAGCCCCAGCAGCGTCTGCTAAGCCTCTTCCCCTCAGCATGGGAGGGGAGCTGCAGGAAGTACCTGCCTAGAGGCCCATATGAGGTCCAGGGATGGTGGCAGAAAAAAATGGGCGTGCCTTCGTTTCTATTTCCCCACTCACGGGAGGGGACCAAGCTGGGGCCTGAGAAGCCAAGGGAGCCTCAAAGTAGAATTCTGATGACCCTTTGCCCAACTGGAAGGGCAGAGCCTTGGCCAGGAGAGGGGTGCAGTCCTCCAGATATGATGGCCTCAGATGGGTGCTCAGCAGGACTCCTCCTCTGGCCCCTCTTTCCTGTCCCTATTCCCCTAAACCCTGGACTTCTCCCACAAGAACACCACCTGTCAGTAGGAAAGAAACTCCAGGAGGATGCTACATCCTTGCAGAGAGGTCTTCCTGTGTTCTGGCCAAAAAAAATCAAATGGACATTTTATACATTAATATCAAAACCACTCATTGGCCGGACCACTCACGCATTAGTTTTCCCTGTTCCTACTGAAGGATATAGGGCTATGCTCCTAGATATGTAGACCTCTAGCTTCAGGCAACCCAGAAGTTTTTCAGTCATCTATATCAACCCCTAACAACACAGGTGGGCAGCTGTATTCCAGGGAGTAGCTAGATCTAGTGGTTTTAATGGAAAGGAAAGACCGATAGCCTACAAGCATGGGTCCTTAGCAGCATCCGTTCTTCAGGCATCTCTCCTGGGATTTGTCTTGAGAATCACCCTTCCATCATGCTCAGTCTGTCTGGTAAGGGCAAGGCTGAACCCATACCCAATTCCCAGCTCCAGGAATGAGCTTGTGGCTCCATCAACATAACCCATCTCCCTGATTTCCAACATTACTTCGGGGACGAGCATGTGACCCAATGCTGGATTTTGGTTGGAACTGTTGAAAAGGGGACAGTCTTTCCTCTGAAGCTGCAGAGCCATGAGATTGTATGCTTAGAGCTACCAAGATCACCAGTGGGGAGTCTGCCTGGCACTAACTCCAAACCACAGGCAGCCAGAGGCTTGAGACAGGCAGCTTCGTGCCCTGATGTAAGCACCCGTACCCAGCAGCACAAAGTGTCTCGACTTTACACCCCACACCGAATCCAATCACAATCCCTCACATCACAGGCCTCAGTGCAGGCCACCATCTCACCAGGCTTTAATTTAACTAATGTTCTGATGGTTCTCTCTGTCTTTAGCTTTGCCTCCCTCAAGTCCTGTCATCATATTGCAGGCATAATGATCTTTTCAAAAAACAATTAGAGTGCACACATACGTTACCTCGCTCTCTCACCCAAGAAAAAGTAACAATGCCCAAAAGCAGCAGCACCCACATCTTGGTTTCTAATACCATTTTCCAAAAAAAGAAACCAGGGCTTTTTGGAGAATTGTCTGATTCTAGGAGTGGGGCAGGAAATATGTAAAATGAGTTTGGAATATCTTGTACTGCCGGAAGGTAAAGAGATGATTTAAAAAATGAAGAAGGTAAGTCAAAAGAATACAGGAGCCAACTGAAAGAGCTCCCAGTGGCCAAAGCTAGAATAATTTGAGCAAGAAAATATATATAGTATTATTGGATTATAACCCAAAGTATAAAATCCATGAATTCATATTGATATAAATAAATATTTCAATGCATAAAAAGATAATCTCCCATGCAGAAAAATTCCAAACAATTTCTGTAGATATTCCATCCTCAAAAAAGTAGAACATAATTCCCACTCCTTAAGTGTGGGCTGCACACAGTGACGGCTGTGGTCTGAACGTTTGTGTCTTGCCAGAATTCATATGCTGCAATCCTAACTCTCAATTTGACGGTATCAGAAGAGGCCTTTAGGAGGTGGAATTCTCATAAAGGGGACTAGTACTCTTATAATAAAGGCTCCTGAGGACGTGCTCACCTATTCCGCCATGTGAGGACACAAGAAATCTGGGATCTGGAGAAGAGCCTGTTTTAAAACGTCCTCTCCTCAGGACCCTAATGAAGATCCTAACGAGAATGCTAATGAGGTGAGGGCCGCTGTGCTGAGCCCACCTTGTACTCAGACCGTGCTCCTTCCTGCTTCCCTCCACTCCCCTCCTGTCTGGCACCACCTGGATACCCGCTTCAGTCGCTGGACTGGGATTTGGACCCACAAACAGAGTCTCTGTGAAGAGTGGGAAACCTGAGGAGTCTCCCCCTCCAGAGTAAAGCCGGAGTAGAAGATGGTCCAGTGAACATCTATGACGAGAGGCCACCAGGAAGGTCATGACACTGCAGACCTCACTCTCCTTTATTTCAATAACTCCAAGGGTAAGCACTGCTCATATTCTGTGGCATTTCTAGAGCTAAAGTTTCCCCACTTGTTAATTTTGAACCCTCGACTGCTTCCTGAGGACATCCAGAACTTCATGTCCAGCTGAGGCAGGACAGTTAGTTAGTTTAGGCAAGTGTCCCTCCCTCCCCTCCAGAATGCGGCTCTGGAATTTTTCCTTAGTCATTCACTCAGCCCCCTTCCTGTTTGAATTCTAAGTATAAGAATGGAGCCACAGCAGAGACTGGATAGATGGTCTTGGGCCACACCCTCCCCTCTAGGTGGCATTAGAAACAAGCCAAGACCCAGAGGCAAGATGGATAGCCTTAAGACGGATGGATAGCCATCACCCCCTCCAGGATAGGGCTCTGAGCTTTTACCTTGTCCTTCATTCGGCTTTGGCTAACCATAATATCATTATAATATCACCTGCATTGCAAGTACCACATCTACAGTCCCCCTCCACCCAAGAAAACAGAAGCCGGTAATTCAAAAAGCTTGGGGCAAATTCTGTCTCCGAATTTGCCCGCACTTTTAAGTGTGTGCTTTTGCTTTAATAAAACTTTCGCTTTCCTGCTGCTGTTTGCCGTGTCCTTGAATTCTTTCTAGCAGCATAAGAAAGAACCTGGTCACCAGAGAAGCCCCGAGTTGGAGTCCCTCTTTGGACTCTCCCACCCCCACCCCCATGGAGCTCTCCAGCACCGCGGCAAAGCAGATGGCCTTTCCACGAACACTCACCTGTACAGGAATAAAATGCGCACACAGAGGGAGGCCTTTGCCAGGTAGCATTTTATTCTAGTGAAGCTTCGAGGTGACCTCTTCAGGTACTGAGGGCTGCTTCTTTGCACATGGCACAGGAAGGGAAGAAATAAAGAAAAAAGAAGAGGTGCAGGGCAGTGAGGCAGAGAGGCTAAGCCCTGGAGTTTACTGAGTGAGGGAAGGGCGGAAGAGCCCGAATGCTGGTCCAGGCCCTGATCAGAACCAGTCGATCCCGTCCCAGGGAAGAAGCGGCTCAGACCTTGGGGGATGTGGAAGAAGAGGATGATGGGGACATAGCATGGACAGAGTCACCAAGATCAGAGCTCTTCCCACTGAGAACTCAGCCACCTAAGCAGGCAACTGGGCATTTGGGAGAGTGGGGCGGGGCAGGGTCAACTGGAGAAGCGCCGAGTATCAGTAATAGGAGAATTGTTTGGGTGTCTAAAGCAACTTCAGTGTGATGAAATTGAGGCTTCTCTGAAGTGACGAGAAACCTCAGGGTGTTGACCCAAATTATGGGTCTGACCCACCTTACCAAGGCAGTTTGAACTTCTAAATCCTCTCCACCCTCCCCTCCCATTTTAACTCAAGCTCTCCTTTCCATTCCAGCTGCCTCTATGGGGTGGGAGAACTCCCAGCCAAGGCAGACGGAAATTCTGAAGGGAGGAAAATTACGGTGAAAAGTCACCCTGGAGTGTGGAGGACAGAGTAGCACTTCCTTGAGTTCATTGAGCCCTAGAGCTCAAACTGCCAGGCTGAGGGCTAGTCCTGTCATAGTTCTTGGGGGTCGTAGGGCCGTTTACAGATGAAAAGGAAATGACTGTCACAGGAGGCATCATTCCATGACTGAAGAGAGGACATCTTTAGATTGGCACAGTGTTCACTGTTTCCAGCATTGTTGGGCTCACCTGGAATCCAGAACCTATCAAAAGAAAATGCAAAGAAAAACTTATTTCCAGTGAGGAAATGAATGACTTCAATCCCAGCTTTGAGATCTGTACAGTGGCAGTATCATAGCCAATGAGGTTTATCCGAAGCATTATTATTGCTAATTGAAACAATCCCAGCTTTGGTCCTAGGTAATAGAGTCACAGGTTTTGGCACCCAGGCCGGAGAGAAAGGGAATTGGTGAACTGACAACTTCTGAGCCTGCAAGCAGCCTCCAAATTATGGCGAAACCAGCCCACCTCTCTCAAGGCCCTACACAAATCCACAGTACTGAGACCTGACCTAGAACAGGGTCCCGGCCAAAACTGGGTGGACAGCCAGGCTGCCAAGCCCCAGCGAGCACAGAGAGGCCACAGATTTGTCTCCAATACCACAGCCAATTAGTGGCAGAGGTGAGCTGGATTTTGGCTCAGTGTTCCTGCCGTTTGTGAAAGGGAAGAATCACAAACCCTGTAGTCAAAGGGAAATATCACTCCCACCATGCGTGCCCTGTCCCTGGCTAAAAGAGTGAGGTGAGGAGGGAGGGGTCCGAGGGCCTTACCTCATACTCTGGACCTTGTCGAATGGAGTGTCATCTACCCAGTACCAGTCCCCCTCACTCCCTGTTTTGGTCAGGCCAATCCAGTGGACAAGTCCACCTGCTGTCTTGTACAGGAACTCCTGTAGGAAAGACAGAATGAGTAGAAGCGCTGCCATCACTTGGAGTTGGAGCATCTGTCTCTCTGGGTGTTTTTCACCTGTGCTCAGTGACCGCCCACAGACACACTGCACACGCTGACCTCTCTCAAACCTCTTCCTGTTCCTGCCCAGAGTCCATCTTCCATTTTCTGGTTTGTCTCTGCTCTGCAACTAAGAGATTCAGGACTCAGGCCTTTCTGCCCCTTAGGAAGAAAGTACTGGAGCACAGAAAGACTCAGCTAAACCCCAGAGCAAGGAGCCCAAGAGAATGGCCCAGATAATAATAGCTAAATTTAATGAGCACTCAGTATGTGTGAGGCATTATACATTTATATGCACTTATCTGTTTTGTTCTGTTTTTCCTCTGAGGCAAGTACTATTATCATATGTGTTTCATCTAGGACAAGTTGGAGACCAGGTTGGGACTCTAGGCTTTGGCCCCAGAGCTCATGCTCTTACCTGTGTTGCTAGCGCACCTCCCAGATGAAAGGGGCTTGGTTGATATTCTGCCTCATCAGGTAGACTTCTTGGGTTGTGTAGTAGCAGTAATGTTATTTACAAATATTTTTGTTTTCTGGGCACAGAGAAAAATTGTACCTCCCTGCCCTCTTTGAAGCTAAGAGCATTGAATCATTTGCTTTGCAAATAAAATGTGAGCAAAAGTGATGTCTGTTGTTGCTAGAGAGAGCCAACGCACAATTTGTCATGTTTCCTTTTCCTGCCTCAGCAATTATGGAAACATACGTAGAGATGAAGTCTCCTTTGACCTACATCCTTGAGTAACCGCAATGAATAAAACCCCTTGTCAGCCCTTGTTGGACATGCAGTGTAAGTGAGAAGTAATCTTTCACTGTTACGTCACTGATATTTGGAGATTTTTGTCACCGCAACATAATCTTTCCCATTCTGCTTAATACAGCTACTAATGCACCCTCTTCCTAGAGCCCATAGGAACAGCACTCACCTGTTCACTCTCTGAGGTCACTGAGGTCAGGTGTGAATCTCTGGACTTACAGAACTGCTGGGCGCTGTACCAGGTCTTTGAGACACGGGAAAAGTAATAGAAGTTCTCCTTGAAGTACTTCCAGCCTTGAGAAATCATCTGGAGAATGTCACCTGGAGAACAGGAGTGAAAGGTGAACGCTGGTGTTCCTGATTTCTCAGTGTGGTGGGGATACTTGAGTGGGATCCAAGAGATAGCAGTAAATGAGGCTAGGCTCTGGGGTCTTTGAGTTCTTGTGTAGAGGCTTGGGGATACTCTCTCAGATCCTGAAAGTCTCGCTGAGACTAGTAGAACCTCTGGTCTCAGAGGGGGGAGAATGAGAGAGGATGGATCAAGAATCTGTCTCTCTCATGAAAGAGAAAGAATTCTCCACTGACCGTCACAAGTGGCTAAGCCTCTCAGCTCTGGATAAGAAACTTAATGAAAAATGGCTAGCTTTGGGCCAGAACAGAGATTCCTTAATGCCTTCATATTCTGTGCCTTTGTGTGAGAGCCTAAGCTGGTCCCTGGTCGCTCCTCTCCTGAAAAGCCCCTAAGTCCTCCCCAACCCCAATGCTCAGCCCTCTCTTCTGAGCTTTCCAGCCATGCCTGCCCCTCTCCTCTATTGCTTTCCTCCACACATACTGAGACTGGCAAGGTCCCATGGACCACTGATCAACTTTCAACATTCTTTTCTGAGTCACTTACTTTGCCGTTTGAGCAGCTTCCCGGTATTCTCCAAACTGCTCTGGAGTGCCCGAACCTTTGTGTTTAAAGCACTGGCTTTATCCAAATCTCTTTTTAACTCTGGGATTTGGGCATCTAAATTGTTGACTTTCTCCCAACTTTTCGTTAACATCTGGATCTGAGCATTGGCTTTTTTCACATCGGTTTCCAACCTCCGGATCTGAGAATGCATGTGATCCAGGCTAGCATTCACCATCTGGACCTGAATGCCAGCTGCCTCCATGCCACCTCTATTCCTCTTAATTTCAGAGCTCAGGGTGCTGACGTTGTCTACGCGACCTTTCAGCAGTTGGGCATTGGTCTTTATATCTGATAGTGCGCCCATAACCCAGGGATCTGGATTTGAAAAAATCAAAAGGTTATTCAAGGGGATCCATAGGGGTGGGAGTGGTGATGTTTTCAGGGTGATAAAAGGAAGGGCAGGGCAAGGAAGGGAAGGGAAGGGAAGGGAAGGGAAGGGAAGGGAAGG